AGGACTCATTTGATGATTATTCCCTATAAATGGAATGCAATAATAGGGGACGAGGAGCCTTATACAATAATACTTTGCCAAACTCAAGAATCGTACCCAAAAGCACACCCTTAGCAATCGCGCTTGCGACCAAGCAACAATGGGGTAGACAGAGGTGCAAATGTATATAATTTAACACACACTTTCTGTCAGTTGAGTCCCATGTAATAGATAACAAGTACTTGAGAATATTTCTGAATAACTTAATAATAATCAATCCAGTCCATTGTTTCAAGATTATTGCATGGGACATCGGTAAGTATGTGATAGAATTGTGCAGTAACTGTGGACACTCACAGTAATTCTATAGATTCTGTTAACTTCTAACAAATGTTATGAGTTCATTGTAAAGCAACATTGTTGCTGTGGACCGTAACATCGAAGAAAATTAACTTTATCAATAACTAAGTCCCAAGTTTCATGAAATGGAGGAGTCTACGTGGACACTGCTGTGTCGACTCGATCGGAGTGATACCACGACCGAGTAGTACACCGGCGTGAAACAACGCGAGCATTTTGTGCAGGTTAATGAAGGCTAATCAAAGTTATCAATCCCCCATATCCCTATCCCCAAATCCCCAAAAACACTTTTTTATTATGCTAAACTCTTGTACATTTCTTGTTAATGTAGGAGAAATAAGTAGGTCTTATAATATTTGATGATAAACTATTAACTCGTCGAGTACCGGTTTTGTAGATACAATTACAGAACAATAGGTTGCGGTCACCGGTGACCGCTTGGTGTTTGACAGTTTAAAACAACGCTTGCGTTGTTTCGTCGTGTGAGTGAGGTCCCCCCTCCCTTTTCCAATCTCCCCAATCCCTGAATCCTCAACAATCCTCAAACTCCTAATCCCCAAAAGGCCGGTAACGCACTTGTAACGCCTCTGGTGTTCCGGATGGTTATGGCGGCGCCGATTGCTTGCCATCAGGTGATCCGTGTGTTTGTTAACCGACTTATCTCATAAAAAAAACATAATTTGTAATGTAATATCGTATTCTACTCAACAACTCTCCTCCTTCTATAAACGGAATCCGTTGTTGAATGCCTCCTTGCGCGCCGACCGAGGACTATGGGACTCCGGGTCAAACGAAGTACAACACTATTATAAAGATTTATTGGAATTTCGAAAAATCAGAATAACAACAGGGAGTCAACTTGTGTCCAGTAATAAATAATAAATAAATAATAAATTTAATTTTATTTCGGACAACTTAAATCCATTTGGTTAGTAAACAAACAACTTATAAAACTAGTGTTAGTACTTAAAATTACCAGTTACAATTATTAAAACATGACTTACGCCACAATAACATGCAGGCGTATCCAATGCCCCAGTATAGGGCTGTCCCATTATAAAACAATAATGCCCCATATATGAAACAATAATCCCAACTACTTATTACAAAAAAATAATAAAAGAAATAGACTATGTTACCTGCCTTTATTCTTGTTAAACCAATTCGTGCCTCTGACTACTTGCAGGCTACTTACACGTCGTCATCCACCAACGTTACCACCACACTGTGTGCGCCGGCGCAGGTTGTGGGTACAGTGGCACGTCTGCACACTGCGTATGCGTTCCATGTCATTTACATGGTTATAAGTAAATATATAGATATTAAATAGAATTAACTTTTGCACGTAGCGTTGCTTGCGTTTTTATTGAGAATTTATTTACGTATGACATAGTGACGGTATAAACCTATCTACCTACCCCTTTTGCTGCCGCAGCCGTCGTCAGACCCGATACAGGAAACATAACATATCATCAAGCCATTTATCCCCGAAGGGGTAGGCAGAGGTGCACATTATACCACTGTACAATCTAACACCCACTTTTCACTATTTTATGTTATAAGTCCCATTTAATAGGGGGTGAGTCTATTGCCATATACCGGGCACAATTCCGGACACTGAGTCCGGAATTGCTAATACTGAGAATTTTTTTTAAAACCCAGTAATACCATGCCCGACCCAGGAATCAAACCTCAATACCCCTTACCCGGCAGTGTAAGCTCCCAAACCAATCTGAAAATGGTGGAGATGGTAGTAAACCCTCTGGTCATGTCCAAAGTCACCAATGGACTGTCACTCGCGTTGACGATACTAAGTTAAAAATCAATCTATATTAACAAAAATGGATCACCAGTCCAAAATCTATAAACATACTATCGAATAACTGCATCGAATCGTGAATCGCGTTCGTTGTCATTAGTACAGGCGGAGCGGGGGCGAGCTGCTAAAGTGGTTATAATTATAGAACAAATAGAATTTCTGATCTATTGTACCTAGTTGTGTTATAATAATTATATTATAAAGAAGATACCGAACTACAACATTGGCATTCAGTAAGTATGTACCTTTCCATTATTCTAGCTTGCCATACATTTTCTCAACAATGATAATTATTGTTAACGCCTGTAAAGGGATGTGCCTTCAGTAATACCTTTCAATAGAGGATTTAAATAATAAAAAAACATAAGATAGGAACTTAAAATATGCGATTTTAACACAAACTATTGGCCTGAATGACAGTAGTATATGATTGGGCATTCTGGACCACTTTTCGCTCGGCGAAACAAGTTCGCACTCGCGGTGGTCCAAAATGCCCAATCGTCAACGGTCGACTCGAACAATGATATAAACGCGAAAGAGCACCTACTAATGAAACGGTCAACTCGCTTTTATTTAG